CCCCCCCCCCCCCCTACTCCTGTGGGATAACGTAATGATAACGCCGCGCCTCGTTGCTACATGTATGTTCTTAACGACGTCGGAAGATGATCGAATGACGGCGGGAAGGAATGAATCGTAGGAAGCGTGAACGCGCGCAGTTTCGACGCGTGGTGATGCGTCAGCTGAGAGCCGGCCGTTCGATCGTTGGCGGACAGGCGCTAGCTGCACGAGCTTTTCATTGATCCAATGTGCAAGCAGAGCAACGATCCATTGGCCGACACACGCCGCGACGATGCTCCGACCTGTCGCGTACGCGTGACCAATGTACAGTCGCCCGTACCGAGAATCCACTGTAAAACATGTTATCAATTAATCGAGCTGTACGACGAGCGCGATAATGTGTACGAGAGAGAAGGATGTCGCGAGATCTTTTCTCTCTCTCTCTCCCCCCTCCCCCTCTTTCTCTCGCTTGCCGTGTTCTGTTATGATATATATATATATGATAATGCGTTGTAATAATGCGCGTGAGGCGACGAAATTTTGCCTTTATATTCACGCTCGATATGAGGAATCGAAGAAATCCGATGACTTGGTTGACGTAACCTTCTCTCGCACGCGTGAGCGTCTCGCGAGAATGACGTTCGCGTCTTTCTTTTCCGGGGCAGCATGATGAGATTTCAAGGGGGCGATTATTTTGTGAGCTTTCCGCGAGTCGGCCGAGAAAACGATTCAAATATCAAGCAACCATCTTCTCACGGGAGAGGGTACTTCAGCGGGATCAGTATTTCTACGTGCGAAACGGTTTTCATATGTAAAATGAGCGAAAAAAGGAGAAAAAAAAAGATGAAGAAGATGAGAGCGTGCTCTTTTCGGCGATTATATAAGTGAATTATTACCGCAAAGACCACGAGACGACGATTACGATGGATCGCACGACGCGACCATCCTTTGTCATTGTAAATACGCATAGAAACGTGGAAAAAGATAGGAGCCGGTAGATAGATGTATAATAGAGACCGCGAGCGTTTTTTTCCTCCGTGTCGTTGCGACGATCGCGGACTCTCCTCGAGTACATTCCGCGACGAGAGGAAGCGATCGGGAGGACAACGTTCCTCCTGGTCCAGCGGGTCGCTCTCGTGGAGCGCCTGGCACGAATCGCGAAATACCGTGCGAAGAACGATGCACCGTTCCGAGGGGAAAGAGAGAGAGAGAGAGAGAGAGAGAGAAAGAAGGGAAATAGACAGAATATCGCAGCGGGAGGATCGTGCGCGGTTTCGTGGAGAAGTCGACGCTCCGAATTCTAAAATTATCTTCGTAAGACCGTGTGCGTACACCACGTGTATCTCAGGAAACCGCGGAAAGACGTCGACTTCGCGAAAAGAAACGCGACCCCCACACTTTTGTCATTTCGCGACATGAGAGCGATGCACCGCTATTCGTTCGACGATTATGATATATACATATATTGTAAAAATAGGAAAGAAAGAAAAATAAAAAAGAGAAAATGCCCACAAGAACGAAATGTGATTCTCATCGAGTGGAATAGCGAGAATTGTGCATCGATTGATTCTCTTTCCGATTTCCTAGATGACTATTCATAACTTGTGTCGATCATTCTCTCTCACTGTCGCACGTGGGGATCCTTTCTTAATCTCGTTGAGAGAGGAGAGTTAACGGGAAACGCTTCGATACGTGAGATCCTCGTGTTTGCAATTGAGGGGTGCATCGGCAATCATCCGATCCGTCGAATCAGCGCGCGCGATTGTGCGAGGCAGCAATAAGAAAGAATGAGAAGATGGGGAGAAAGAGAAGGAGAAAACGAGTTGTCTGTAAATAACAGTGTTGCATTATTATTTATGTTGCTACTGTGGCGAGTAGTAGTAAATTATCGTAACGATACGTAATTTAAAGATGAGAGGAGGAAGATAGCATGTGGATCGTACGATCGGGCAGCGTGTACATAAGTTACATAGGTATATCTCTCTCTCCTGGTAAAGGATACTTTACGAATAGTTATTTTTATTGCTATTAATTGCTATGTAACAATTAAGTATCATATTACATTATAATATCATTAGTTTATTATTTTTGTCATTATATATATTATTACTTATTTCCCTATTATCATTATGAATATTATGATTACGGTTGTTATCCTTCGGCCGATGATCTCAAAAAAAAAAAAAAAGAAAGAAAGATAAAATAAGAATTACGTTCGGGAGTGCCGGCTAAATCGGATCGGAAATTTTTATTCGACAATACGTGCACACGAAATGGATCCTTCGTTGTCGTTTGAGACAAATTTTATTTCTGGCCTACGTACTCTCTAAACATGTTTATGATGCAGTCGAAATACACTCCCTCGTCCAATCATTGTTATTACAAAGTTTCCAACGAATCATCGATTGAATTTATGCCTTTTGTGCAAACGGGAAATTTTGTAGGGATTGTTTTCTTTGGTTGCTTATGTATGGGAAATTTGAAATTCAATGTTGCGATCGGTATGATGATTAAGTATGTAAATTAGAAAGTCGCTATACTGATTTGTTTAATTTGTGAGCGCATGTGTTGGTCCAAAATATGAAACACTTTTATATTAACACACGAAATGAGCTTTCTCTTATACTGAATTATAATGAATACTAAATTGTATGAAAATAGTACAAGGTTGTATTTAAGGGATTTACAAATTACATTTGAAAAATTACGTTGATAAATTTGAGAAAGGTGTAAACCTGAAAATTTATTAATTGAGATCGAAAATGTTTTTTTCGTCGACTAATGCGATTTGTACATTTTAGTCGTCGACTAATGCGATTTGTACATTTTCCTGTAATTGAGTAAAACTGTTCCATATTTATGATCAGAGTTATTTATTCGATTTGTGGGAAAAAATATGAAAGTTTTATGTAC